GGGGCATCCCCCTAGAAAACTCCCAGATTTTTTTAACATGCTAAATTAAATATTAGGTTATTAGACCTACAACACACACAAAAGTGTGTTATAGTTCGAAAAAAATTAAATGGTGAAATCTTTGCTTTCACTCCCGCAAATGCACTGCTTTGAGGGTTAAAAGCTGTAATTTTTGCTGCAGATCACACATATATAATGGCCACCTCAACTGCTGTAAATCAATAATAAATTGTTTTAAAGAAAATTAAAAACCTAATTGCAAGCATGAAATTATAGGGAAAAACTGGGGGGCATGCCCCCTTATAATCCCCCCTCCTCCCCCTCCCGATTATTTTAAAAATGATAACCAACTATTTTTATATATTTCAGGTTAAAAGTCTAAAGAAGTAACTGCCTGAACTCTGTTTTGTTGCCCAAGTCTGTGTCCACTCAATACATGAACAATGTCGTTCTCGTCATCTCAAGAAGAGAGGTTTTCAGCAATACTGCAGCCCATAAGAGACCTTGCCAGAAATTGGGACATTGATATTGCCCATTATTTGGAAGAGTATTTAGAAGATGTGAGTATCTTTATTCAGTTGCTGTACTTTTCAGATATATATTGCAATAATTTTTAAGCATTATTAAAGTATATTTTAGAAAATACCATACACATCCTGAGATCGTCTACAGCATGACCTTAATTAAATACAGTATACTTGGCTCAAAACCTTTTTCGTCGGTTGGATGTGTCTGGGGTGAATTTCTGGAATGCTAGAGGGGGCTCAACATAAGTGGAATCAAGTACAGCACTGTTTGGGCATCAGATAGTGTGTGACCTTCTGGAATTATTGGTTGTTACACTGTGAGACTGGAGTTTGTTGTATGTGTTGTGATAAAAAAAAGGCGTAATAAGCTAATCATTTGAGACTTTGTTCCAGCCTGCAGTTTTTAGCCAAGTATGAATATAATTCTTCATTGTTTTTGTTGGGATTTTGTTTGTTATAAGTCAGTCTATTCTACTTTCGCAGAGTAAAAAGAAACTGAACAGTGTTTTGTGTTATTGTCAGTTATTGTATTTTTAATTATGTCATCATAGTCTGCCATACTTAATAATGAAGAAATGTGTGAATTGTGCGTCTTAATTTTATTTTTTCGTTCTCGTTATTAGCTTTGACATCACTGTTGCATAGCCGCTTATTTTTTTCTATGTGTTTGTGCGTGTATTTCCAGCTGGAAAAAGTGGAGATAACCTTTGATGATGGCAGTACAACTATGAACTTTTCCGAAGCCGCCTTGCTGATTCAAGGCTCTGCAGGAGTGTATGCGAAAAAGGTAAGTTTTGATTTTCTCTAGTGTTCTGTTATCTCAAGAGGACAGGTTCTTAAATGATATCTTTTAATATTGCAATAGGCTTGCCAGCTGTCCCGCATTTCCAGGAACTGTCCTGTATTCAACGATTGGGAATTTGAGAGGTTTCTTATTATGTATCACGCATATATATATATACACTACATGAAAACCCCAGTTCCGCTTGATGTAATGTTGTACATAGTTACATAGTCTGATGTCATAATGTAGGATGTCCCTGACTGGGTGTTGAACAAGTTGACAGGCCAGGTATTATATGTGAGGCAGCATGGTGAAATTAGGTGCTCGTTAAAATAATTAAAATGAGGAAATAAGCATTTTTCCACTGGTTTGGCAATTTTTATAGAAATTTTTTTTTTCGGTTCAACTCTTTTTGTGTCCTTTTAAAATCACCTTTTATTTCTGTGTAGATTTTACTGAAAAACGATTAAATGCTCTAAAAATGTAAATTGTAAGTTTCCAAGTACTCTCAAGGAAAGTTATGGAGTTCACCAAACTCTGGCGGTCACTGTCTCACTAATTTTACCTCTGAAACCGGCCAACCCCC